AACAACAAGGCATTTGAACTTTGCTACAGATACTAAATTTGCAAAGACAGCTGTGTACTTACAGTTTCTTCCTGCAATCTCTATTCAATACCTTATATTTACATAAATGCAGAACCCTGTCCAGTCCCACCCCTCCCAGGTCTGCAAGCACAGGGAGGAGGGAAGAAGTGTCACGTTTACATTGCAATCCTTGAGACATACAAGGCTGCTTCCCTGGGAGCTGCCACACCGTGTGTTTGAAAGGTGACATACAACCATGGCAGCACAGTGCACCAGAAGCACTTGTGCATTTTACTCTTGAGTTCCTGTAATCTTTTCTCAAGAGTATCAACCATAGAACAGTTTCACTGCAGAAGTATCTTTAGCAGAAGATCATAATGACAGAAGCAACCCCTGTAAAATGGATATTAAAGCCAACTGCAAGCCAAGACAGCAACCTGAAACTGTTTTCAAGGGAATTCAGCCTGACAAACCAGCACCAGCATCAAGCTGTGCCATGCAATGGTTCTTGATGTTTTAGCAGACACATTATTCAGAGTGTAGATTGACTGATAATTGCTTGCCCCTTCTACTGACTGTGAAAAGCTGATAAAATGCAACTTTGGCTAAAAAGAGCACACACAGATCTTTACCTCTGAGATGAAGATACCAGTAAAACTATTCCAACTCACAAACAAATCTTAATCTAAAGAAATACTGCCTTGAGGGTACACTTATCTTCCCCCATATACTGTAAAGTTCCATCATTTGTCTTTAGCAGCGGTGACCTTAAAGTATATAAAATTCATAGCTTACAGGATAGACTGTAGAGAGAGGAGATCATACCTGAAGTTTCAATATAATTAATAATCCCTCAAACAGCAGGTTCTGGAAGTTCACATACCCTACCCTGCCAAGCAGAATGATCAGTTCTTACATCCAGACCAAACTGCCATACAAACACTGCCAGCACTCCCTTCAACAAAGATGAATAAAAATAGTTGTTTGCTGATATTTTTCTTCCCTACAAATCCTCCTACCTATGATCACATTTCTGCATCATGGCAGAGAATACTGGGATGCTCACCCAGTCACAGCTGTAGACGGTCTGAATCGATTGTCATCCTTTGGGGAAAAAAAAACAACTGTAATTTTTCTTACATGATTCAGTGCAAAGCACATCCTCTTGCAGTCACCGTGTTCAGAAAGATGAGTACACGTCTTTAACTTGATCTGGATCAACTGCCATCTCCTTTTATAAACTAACTTGCATACAGCCAGCCTGGACTAAAATAAATGACATCTAAGAGAACCACAGACTATTAACAGATTGGATCCAGCACCTGAAAACTCAGGTATCCGACACACTGTTGAAACAGTCAGCATTGGAAACATGTAAGAAATAAAGGAAGTGATCCCTAACTGCAGATCTTACACCAGGTGCCTCTTGCTTCCCCTTCAGCAGGCGCATGGCCCATCCATTGACAAGTGTGTTTTCCTACTCCGGTTTCTTGGGAGTCTCTATTGGCAGTGCATCAAGCCAAATGTTCCTTTTTGCTATCAACATAGCCAGGGGGCTCAGAGATGCTAGCCAGCCCTTGTTCAACTGGTGTTACTGTTTTACAACATGTCATGCTTGGTGATATTGAAAGGAAAAGACAATAAAAATTAATCTTGTGATTAAACACAACACTTTGGATCGCTGGCTGCTGCTGCTGGCACCACGCCACTGCCTCTGAGGACAGAACAGAACCTGTCTGCTGTCTACAACAAAAGAATTTTTATACAATGAGGGTCTCTTGCTACGATTGATCAAAATGGGCAGCTTGGCAAGAAGACCTGGAAACCATCAGTTACAGCTTCGTTATACCCCAGCTTAAAGCTGATGCAGTCCTGCTCCATACTGAGATGACTGTCCAGAATTTCTGCTCACACAGTGTTCACGTGCCATGTAATATACTGCTACTTTCACAGCACATAGAATTTACAGCAAATTTAGAAGAGTTAGAAAATTCGATTTCAAGATATTTGTATGTGTCAATCTTCAGAGCTTGCTAAGCACCTGCTCCCACAAAAGCAGGCTTTGTGCCATTGAAAGATTTGCACTGGCCCTTTGGAAAGGGATTAATTGCTTTTCCACTATGAATATTTGCATAGGAGACTGTATTAGTTATCTGGTTAGTCTCTGGTACCTGCACTCCAGCATAAAGTCTAGTTTCTGTGATCAGCTACACAATGTCCATTTTTATAAATGTTGAATGTTAAAGTTTCAGTTAAACTCTGCTTAGAGTCCCTGTTTCTCTTAGGGAAATTCAGATACAGAAATCTACTCAGCTAAAACAAGACACTCATAAGCATGGTCAAATCAAAATGCATTTCTAAACAATCTTTTATCATCGTGTGCATAGCTTGTTAAAGGAAATGGCAGAAACTCTGTACCTTAAGCAGGAGGATCTGCTTTTTATGTTGTCTGCAAATGGATCCTGCCACTCTTTCCATACATTCTTTAGTTCAACCACAAAGTATCATCACTTTAGATATAAAGTATATTCATAGAACCTTCATAGCATAAGCGCTGACTGGTCCTCCCTGCTCCCAAATGCTACCACCTGTGGCAGATCATGTGAATGACCAACGTCACAACCATCACCAGCAAAACCACCAATGAGATCTGCACACAACGACATTTAGTGAAGAAATGCAAATCCAAAGATTCTAATGCTCTGATCCCTTATTTTGGTTTGGTTGCTGATGGCCTACTCGTCAAATGTGGGAGCAGTGGATCAGTGTGATGAACTATGCTTCTTATAAAATAGCTTTTAGAAAGAAACAGCTCTGTGTTGTATTTGGCTGCCTCCTAACAAGTGTGATGGCAAAGCTGCTAAAGATACCACAGCTTCCCAAAGCACACTGTATGAAAACCTCTCCAACTGTATGTGTGTTATTACTTCCAGCCATTCCTAAACTGCATCAAAGGATGCACATCTGGGGATGTCTCAGTGAGAGTGTTGCAAAGACAAATATTTTGATCAGAAGAAGTCTTTGTCCAAACCTCTGATGACAGATAGCAAAACAGCAGCCTCTGAAATCAACAACTCAGGGTAAAAAATGGTTGCAGCAGACAAACACAAAAGTGGTTCTGAGACATAAATCACATAATCTGAACAGAGAGTGACACGCGTGTTTGTGCACTTTCCCGATGAAGTCATTGTACGAAGCTGTTCTTCAGCTCCCCAGGCAGGCAAAAATGCGCACGGATAGAAAGGGTGTGAGCTCTACCTAATGTGATGAAGCTACAGAAGTGATGAATAACCCTCGTGTTGATGCAGTCAGTGAGGAGATGCTGTCAGACCATAAGCACAGCCAGGAGATTTGCCAGTGTTCAAAGACGTTGCATTCTCTACCTTCCGCTTCCTGCCTCAGGCTCCTGGCACACACACCTCCTCCAAAGCCATCTTTCATTGCAGCCCGGAAAGCACATTTTTCTCTTCCTTCTCCTATTCACCTTAAAAGTCCTCCAGATTTCCAGGGATGTTTTTCAGCTCCATCTCTCCCTTATCAGAGAGGCTAGCTTTGTGCACATCCATTTATTAACATACAGGTTAATGTGCTGGACTGTGATTATCACGTTCATCTGTCTTGGGAAATTCTTTGCAGCTGCAGTGGCTGATTGCAGCCATCATACACTTGGGCTTCATCTTTTTTGCATGTTTGCTTCCTGTTGTGGATATAGACAACAAAATACTGCACATGCATGGTTTATATGGATCAGCAGATTGGCATTAGATTAACTTCTGTTTTTACAGATTAGTTCCACGAGCTCAGATTTCATCTCTGTTCTGCAACACCTCCAAAAGATCTGCAGTTAAAGTTCTGGGAGAAAAATCAGCAACTTACAGAATCATAGAATCATGAATTTCTCAAATACGTCATAACAGATGAACAAAAAAATGAAGGTAGAAGTGAGATGCACTGAAGCCATGACAAATGCAAACAATAAAACCACAAAGAAGCATCAGGAAAGCTACTCCAGCCATGCCCTGCAATGGCTGCAGAGCTATGACTTTGGTAAGTGGTACAGCAAGTTCACATTGATATTTTTACTAATGTAAGCAATTCTGCTTGGGCCAGCAAGCCTGCGCACGTTAGCAACCTGCCAGGGGTGTTTTCAGCTAAGAGATCATGGTCTAATCTTTTGCACACAGGCAAGAGAGTAATTGGATCATTGTTCATATTGTTCACAGGATAAGAGCTCTTCTGATTCAACCCTGATGCTTGAACTGCACCATCTCTCAGGAGACAAGAGGAAAGACACAAGGATTATAGTGTGGGTAAAGGGCCTTCAAAACTACAATAGAGAGAAAGGATTTTTTCAAGTTAAGCAACTAAGGTCATTTCTGCTGAAAAAAATCCACTCCTGCTAAAGGCTAACATTACACATGTAGAAAACACAAACCTGAACAGGATCTCCTGTGACACAGAAAGGCAGAAACCCTTCAGTTCTCAAGCAAAGCCAGCTTTGGTCCTGCTCTGGTGAGGGGTGGAGACCGAGCAACCCCATTTTTATCTCCAATGTTTGCTCTCCTGTAATTCATCAGTACCTCTGCACTGTGTTCACATCACTTTGCAAATGCTCCACAGCACGGATTGGTCTTTAGGACAGTGGAGAAAACTCAAGTGGAAACTGCCTAGATATGCTTGACACCTCGTTTGCAGGCTGCTTGTCATGTTGGTATTAACAGTGCAATGGCAGATCTACCGTGGAACAAATTCCTTATAAATATGGATTCATCAAACTGAAATGTCTAGGTAATAAAGATGGCTGAGAGACACAAACCCACAAGCAGAATCATGTTTCAGATACTGCAAAAATCAGCCGCTCTGATAGAATATAACATCTTCATAAATCTCCAACACGAGAAATAAGCATTTAAATAATACTGCAGAGGACAAAAGAAGCGTTAGAAGACGCAAATGAATGAGAATCACAGACACATCAACACTGCATTTTATTACTGCACTACATTTTCAGGTTGCATAAATAATTGTACACATACTCTGTGGCTGCACTAAGCCACTGTGACAACTATGACCTTATTGTGGCAACAAAATGACAAGAAATCCCTGGAGACCTAGCAATATTTTGACACCACAATCCTGCAGCTATCTCCACAAGCAATTAAATGAAAATGCTGCCCTGCCTCCTGCTACATCCCAGAGCTGCAGCAGGCAGTTCATCCTGCCTAAGGAAACACTGAACATGTATAACCAGTGGCTGACAGCTGCCAATCAGCCCCAGCTTAGTCCGTGCAGCTTCCTGAAGCGGTCCAGATAGACTTGCAAGAAAAATGCTAACCTGTATTCCTCCAAAGATGTTAAAAAAATCGTTCCACATGGGTTAATTTTCCTGAAATGGATTCTTATATTCCTTCATGAGGGAAGACAAAATAACAAGTAGAGCTGCGGAAGACGCCAGATTGCTTTCTATGCCAGCCCTTCTTGTAACCCCAGCACGTGCACAGAAACTGGGACATGCTGCACTGAGCCTGGCAGCAGCCACCAGGAACATCCCAGAGGGGAAACATGCAGGTGAGGCTGACCAGCCTGCTGCTCACAGGGACTTCCTTGGCTGGCAGCATGGGGAGGCTCCCAGCCCACTAAAATGAGCTGGTGATGCCATATAAAAAAGCCCTGGGAAGAGAACAAGAAGAATGCAGGCGTTTCCCAGGGAGTAAAGGAAAAAGAGTCGTTAAAACAGACAACCTTGGATTAAGTGTATAAAGGAATAATAAGTGAAATCAGGAGTGACGTAGAAGAGAGCAGCAAAGAAGCAGCATACAGGACAGAAAGAAGAACAGAGGAACGCAAGAGTAAAAGAGGCTGCAGAAAGAACTGCCAGAAAACAGTGTTTCTGTTTTTCATGGTGCTACAGTAGTGCCATAGTAAAGACAGTGGGAGTATTTTTGATCCAGGAGCAGCTTCACTTGAGGCCCACTTTCCTGCTTCTGCCTCTGCCTACCAAGGGCCATGCAAAAGGTGACAGCTACAGCTACGTTTGGTCCTTCCTATGGAAGTGCAACCCCTGCTTTGTGACAGCCACTTCCCCAGGATGCTCAAACAAGTACTGTGGCAACCAAAGGATGCACCATGCTGGAATGGAACGTGCGGGAACTGATCTTAACTCCTTACTCAGGGTTACTCTTCTCATCACACTTGTCTACTGCAAGCAAAACTACTTTCTGAAAGTCTTAAATCATGTGGTCATCAAAAAAAGCAGCGCCTCAAACTTCTGCCTGGAGGCCTATGCTATAGCATTTGTAGGCTCAATCAGAAGGTAAAGTTTGCTGATTGTCAGACAGCCATTTAAATTTCATTTGCTCATCTGTACCAGAAGCATCCAACGCTAACACATTTTTAGCAAACAGCAATCATTTGCTTTGCTTTACAAAGGTCATCAGACATCAGTTTAAATCTCCCACTGCTGCCCATTTGCCAAATTCTGCTTTCAGAAGACTCATTTCAAAATGTGTTCAGCTTTATTTCTTATAATGAGCAGTCAGGAGCCTTGTTTTACTCTAGAAAAGTGTACTAAAAAGGTATATGCTTTTCTAAGAACATCAAGCTGTTTTCCTTTACTACATCAAGGTAACAACTTGTTCTTATCTTGCAGCAGGAGTTGCGATGTAACAGCAAGCGATACCTTGTCTAATTCAACAAGGGCAGAGGTATGTGGATTGTGAGTCTCACTGATACATGGACATTTCCAACTTTCAAAGGGGAAAATGTGATTTAAGTACTGCCAAATTGCTCAATTACAGATATTTTTTGCATGTCTGACCTAAGAGGACTGACTGCTGAAATGCAGACTTAACCAAACCACCACAATCTCCTCTACAAGCCATCCATCCAGAGTAGAAGGACAAGAGGAGATCTGGATTTATGAGTCATGACACAAGATTATAGATCTTTGGTCTCGTTTTATGATTTGGAAAACATTCAAGCAGGGAGTTTCTCAGACAAAGTAGCTATTGGTACTTTAATCATGTGTTCCAGTGTAATGGAGCAGAAGCAACAATTGTTTCCCTGCCTTAATATATGCTTATCTTTTTTGTTTGGTGCCAGCAGCTGCAGCAACAAAGCATGTAGCCAAATCTGCAAAATACTGAAAATGCAGCTGCTAACACTATAATGCAGAATAGCCCAGATGAAGCATGTTTTCCTTTTCACTTCAACACTACTAAAGTCTGTAGAGCTCCCAGCACAGCAGAAGGCACTGCAGGTGGCACAGAAGAGGATGGCTACTGACACTGACATACCAGGACTGCAGTTTGTACCAGTGACAGTGAGAGCAGAGGATGGTTTTTACTCATGTTGTCTGGACAGCTGTGCTCTGACGTTCAGTTTCTTATTCAGGATCAAACTGCCCCAAACTTGCTGCTTGACAATTCCAAAACAAAGAACCTGCCCTCTGTTTCATGCAAATTAACCAAAATTGTACCATTTTGGATGACTGTTCTGAACACGATTTTCAAACTTTGTCAAAAATTTTTCTGGTATTAAAAAAAACCAAAAAACTTCTTGTTCAATTAAATGCCAGTAACTTCGTAATTGTGATACTCATGTTGACGATGTTTTGGACCTAAATTTTGGAAGGGTGTTGTCACTGATATTTCTTCAGACCCAAACTTTTCATCATATATTAACCCAATTTTTTTTTAAATAGCTCTAGCTTGTTCAAAATGCCATTTTTTCAGTGATTGAGCTGTTCAAAAATCCTAACCAGGGATCCATTTTATGGGGAGCTGCATAAACATGGCTGCTAGGAAGAGTCTAATACAGAGAGCAACATATTGGTTTCAGTTCTGTTTGGAGAAGAACCTGGCAGTGACCACTGAAACACACCAAACATGCTTCTGTGACCCCAAAAAAGATATGCAATGTGGTTGCATTAAAAATAAAATGAAATTTAACACTGAAATGCAAAAAGTGCAACTGTGATTTAAAAGTCAGGTTTTTTGCACAGAAGGGAGATGGCACCTGAGGCAGGGAGGAAGAAGAGTAGCTGAGGAGGAACAACAGGTCTGAGGAAAGAGGAGTGAAAAAAACCTGAGACAAAACCAGAGCCAAGGAGGCCAGCTCTGCATACCAGGGCACTGAAGTAACTAAGGAACCACAAATGCTGAAGGAAGGCTTCCAGTATTCAGCAACTCCACATGGAGGGCTCTTCAAATTGTATTCTGCTTCAGTTGCATCTTCACAACTTTCCTTCACAACTATTCACTGCTTTCAGGGTCCAGCAGAAATCCAGCATGGAGCCAAAAACAGATGGGAGAATGTTTAACAGCGAGCAGATTGACTCAGGGCCAGGAGAAAGCCCAAAGGCAGCGGTGATCCAGAGATGAGGCACACAAGGCTACAGGTTGAAAGTGCTCAGAGAACCGTGCTTCAGGTGGCTGCTTCAACAGGCTCCTATGGATTCTGTAGGAAAAGATCAAATAATGGTTATACACAGTTTGCAGTGGATTTAAGAATGGTGAGGGAAGGAGGCAGCAGGGGAAGATTGGTTGTTTTATTTGCTCAACCATAAAATATTTCTCAGTTCCATCTACAGTTACAATCCTACCAAACACTTTGGTGTCACAGAAACATATATTTGAGATAGTATGGCTTCAATTTATCCAGTATGTGTAACAGTGGTAAGGAGTTGGACTTTGGACGTGTAATCATTTTGGTAGGTGAAATGAACTCCTCAGAACAGTGGGGCAAAGCAAAAATACACAATGAATTCTCCTTAGCCAAGGAGACAAAAGAGTAAGTCATTATATTCTGCATGTACAAAAGGTATTAAATTGAAAGAAAACAAAAAAGAAACACTTGAGCAGAATCCTTTGCATGAGAAATTAGTTGAGACTGACTTCAATTTCAGATTGAAACGATCCCTAGGAAAAACTTTTTGGAACGGATGTGGAATTTGTTATAACTAAATAAGCTGCTTACCTTCTTGCTGGATGCCAAGTTCTCATTCCTAGAAGAGAAGAGGAATACATCAGTGTTGTACAGTCAGATTGAGGGCAGGGTGCAGCTAGGAGAATTTGCCGAAATGGCCACTCACCCAACTCTGTTCCTCTCAGCTGAAGAAGGTCACCATCCCTGTGGCACTGGTGTCATTCAATCAGGAACTGGTGGTGGCTGCTGCAGTTGAAATTGGTTACAGCAAAGCAAATCTTCTTGCATGGCAGATGACTTGTATCCCCTGTCAGCTCCTCCACAAAAGAGTGCAACATTCCCCAGTAGCCAGGTTAGATTATCTGACTGAAAGCTTTTCTTGGCATATTTCTGTTGGCTTCTTAAAATATTGGTTCTGTAAACCAGAAAATTTTGGGTACATTTCACAGCAGTCTATAGCTTTCTCCCTCCAAAATTCTACTTCCATTAAAGTTTGCAGTCTTCTTGACTTCCCTTGCTGGCAAGGCAACACACCACTGCCTCTTCGTTGGATTCTTTTTTGCTTTTCTCATTACAAAAAAAAAAGTCTGGCTTTTCCAATCGGTTGCACCTGTGTGAGATTTTTCCCAGGCAGCAAAATCACTCCCAGGGAAATCCTTTTTTGTAACCACTCTGGATACTTCAGCAAAAAAAGTTTCAACTGCAGTAATAACTGTGAATCAAGAAATTGGTTTTGGTAATCTTACAGGATTGCTTACAAGTCAACTAAATGTCTAAAATTACTGATTAATGCTTATCAGAGTTAAACTGAATTGAGATTTCAGTTGATTATCCAAAGCCTTGGAGATTTCTTAACTATGCAGAATGTGTTTATTACAGCTATTGACACAAATCAGTTTATCTTGAGCTTATTTCACATAATTAAATCCTTCTAGGACAGATGCTGTGTTTGTCTGAAGGTCTGATGCACAGTTCTGGAAGATTCGTTTACCCCAATGCAGTTAAATGCAGCTCCAAGTCCAAGTTCCTCTATTTGTTGTGACAATGGATGTTTGTCCTTTCTCCATCATTTCTCTTTCTTGAAGAGCCTCTGCATGCATTCCCTACCTCTGCCAAGATTAAGGCATTATCTACCATAACTGACCTCAGTACAAACAAAATTCAAGGCAGCAGTTTAGGCATGATGAGATCGCCCTGCTAGCAGTGTTTTCAGGAGGGTAATGAAGCTGTTTGCTCCAGGATCCACCAAGGACTGCTGGAAGCTCAGAAGCTTTCCTGACTCTCAGCCACTGACACAGCATATCCAAATGTACTGGGGCTGTGTGAGCCTTTGGTGTAAGGCGAGCTTAAAGGAAAAGATGAGCTTAAATCTTTTTTTCTAAGGTACATCCTGCAACTCATCGTTTATTTTGAGTACTAACAATGAAGTTATGGAGAAGTAAATATGCATTTCCAAATCAGGGAGAAGAAAAAGGCTCCTCCTAAAAAAGCTGATTTCCTTGGTAATCAGCATTTCCCTATGAAAATTAAAGAACAGCTCTTGAATGAATGAACTCTTCCATCACGACTCCAGAAGTAACTGACCACAAATCTAGTTTAAAGTAGTGGTAGGCTGACTCCCAATGCTGGGATTTATATTTTAATGCCAAAAGATCTAAGTTTAAACCCACAAACTCTTTTGGGTCACCGCATAAGTGCTTTGCATTTTCAAAGATAAGACTAGGTCCAATGGCCTGTTCTGGCTTTAATAAATAACAGCACTAAAAATCTATGAATCACTCTCCCCTTTCTGAGTCAAAGCTTCCCAGAATCATCCCAAATCTCCCTCCTCCAGCCTTACTCCAATAGAAACCCCCCACAAAGTGAATTGAGGAAACTCAGCGCTTGATCACAAGAAGTTTTCCCTCCCACACAGCAAGTGTTTTTCCATTCTTAGAAAAATACTGCTTCCTTTCCCTGAATGGAGCACTGCTTTACACAGATACCCCTCCATGTGAACAGGCAGAGGCAGGAACTGTTGTTTCTGGGAAAGAGGGCAGCCTCCCAGTGTGGTGACAGAGCCTGACACAGCTGGAGGAGAGCATTACCTGGAGAAATCATCCATTGTGAATGGACAGTTAGTGACACACGTGCTGGAGCTGTGCAACATTCTGCAAGGTAATTCTGCAGACCATTTCCCTGGGAAGCACATTCTGCACAAGCACACACAGTCATCTCCTGGGAAACCTTGTTCTGCTTCATTTCTGATCGCATCTGAAATCCTTAAGTATGTGACCTAGCCTTAAAACAATGAGACAAATCAGGTGAAAACACAGAAAACGGTTACCAGAAACTTATCCATTTCAGCCTTTCTCTGGCAGAAGACTGGGCAGAAACAAAAACAAGCTTTAATAAGACTGAAGATGTCAGGGAAAATCATCTCCAAGAATGGGAGAGGAGCTGGAGTCATAAAGTCAAGCAGATGGCAGAGAATCAGAAAACCCTCTGTTGGGTTCCAACTCCTCAATCAACTTTATATTCTGATGCACATTAGAAAGAGACAGCACTGACACAATCTAGTTGCTCCCTTTATGAGCCAGAAACGATCTCTTACCCTTCTTCAACCTTCCATGATAATCACCCAAGGGGTCCATCACACAAAAAGCAGGATGCCAGCCCCTGTGGACTGCACAAGACGGGTTTTCCCCACCACTTCTCTGCTCCAAAAGCCAGCCCATAGCCCATTATAGCTCAGTACCAAGTCCTTCCAGGGATTGTGGTGGATTTGCAAGGCAAATACTGCGGTGACTCTGAAATCACCTGCAGTTCTTTGGTGAATTTCAATTCTTGGGAAAGATTTTCGTGTGACGTCTGAGAAGGCATGAGGCCCTCGTGTGCCTCCAGGTCATTGAGCTAAAGATCTGTCTTGTCATTTGGGCATCGCTCCAGAGAGACGTAACTGAAAAATCAAGCCAGGAGACCAAGGTTGTCTTTTGACAGCAGAAAAGAAATGCAAACTTCAGCATATGCTGCCAAGCAGATGTGAGCAGTGAAGATAAGGGAAACACCTACAGCATTCCAAATTAGGGTTTAAAGAGAAAGCTTAAACCAATTTCCAATTAAGTCACCAGACGCAGTGAATTAACGCTGGCTCTGACACTGCGACTAAAGGTATGTATGCAAAATCAGCTGGGAAGAGAAGCAGGGTTACTCAGGTTAGCACCAGTTGGATTACTTCTGCAATCTACAATTAATCTTCAGGCAACACGAACGGTGCCAAAACTCCACGTGGCCAGTTAGAACTGGGGAAAGAAGCCAACAAGGGAGGACAGCTGTCCAAAGGGAGCACAAAAGCGGATTCCAGCAGCTTTGCTTGCGGGCTCTGTTCACGCTGCTCAGCTCTGCACAATGCAGCCTGGCAGCCGTTGCCTGACTGAATTAGCAGCGTGTCCCTAATGAGCCTGCCTGACAGTTCAGTATGCTGCCATTAGCCAAGCAGTCAATGAGACCTCGTAGGCCTGCCCCACTGCGTGCTCAAGTGACGCATTTGTCCCTCTCATGGCTATTTCCTTACAGACGGATTAGTGATCCATCACAGAAGCTTGTGATTTTCTTTCTGCGAATATTTCCAGAGGAACTACAGCTGTAAGCTGAGGGGTAGGGAAGGGACAAGTTCCCAAATCCCCTAGATTTGCCACAAGTAATTCTCATTACTTCTGTCTGAAGAACTGTGCTGAAAAGGGCATAGGAGGGGAGTACTGCAGAATTCTGTAGCCTACCTCCGAGCACCTCTTTCCTCATTAGTGGGTGTTTGAGTGCTCTTGAAAACACTTTCATGAAAACCAAACAATCAGAGTAAATGCCATTCCAAAATCTACTCTTCCGAATCTCTCTAAATGTGTAACTAAAAGTGTGCAACACTTGGGAAGCATGGGAAAAGCATGGGAAGCTTTCTTCTGACTTGTTTAGCTCCTTCCTGTTTTGCACATAGCAAAGCCTGCTTTAATTATTGTCCATTTCACTAACTCTTGCAAAGTGTGCACCTCAGCCCAGTGTTGGTAATCACAGTGCACACAAAGCAATGCACTATCTGCACTTACAGCCAAATTTGCAGCTCTGCTGTCCAGTTTAGTGAGTTTAGCATTTCTATGAATTAGCACAATTAAGCTCTGGAGAATATCCAGACTTCAGGACGCAATTCCCACGCAGCCTTTGGAGAAAGACTTTCAGCATCTTTCCTCCAGGACACAAAAGAGTTATAGTGACACAGTACAGGATTTTTTCCCCTTCAACCTGATACAGCTTAAAATGGAACACTGCTATTGACTGACAGAAACCACCCCTTCCTTGGGGCATTTTATGCATAATGTTTTGGAATGTATCCAGCTCCATAATGTAAGAAAGTATCCAGACATAAAGCTAGGAAAAGAGTATGAGGAGCCCCAGACAAAAGTGAATAGCACCTTACACTTGTTTTTTAAAATTCATCCCATTCACCACCACATGGCTGGACAACCTCTTACTTCCCAAGCCACAGATTTCCCCAGTCCCGCTGCAGCTCCCATTCAAGGCCAATGACTCAACACCTCAACAGGGAAAACAGTCCAGGCTGAAATTCATACCCAACAGGATGGGAGAATGCTGAGCTCGTTGTGAGGAGGAAGGAAGGCAAACCCACTAGCAGACAGAAAGGAAACACATTTCAATAAGGCTCTTTTGTGTTTAGAAAAGGGAAAGCAGGCAGCAAAACACATTCTCCCCTCTACACAGTTGTGTTTATGTAGACTTCTTGCTTAGAAAATATCTTTACTTTCTGTAAAAGACTATACAAAGAAAGAAAAAATACAGAACTGCTTAAGAAAATAAACCTCCCAAATGAGGAAAATAACTCAGATCTGTCCTGGAAGAGATCTAAATATTTGCACCTTTCAAGCAAACAGGAAAAGTCCAACAAACAATATACAGGCTAATTTTTACAGCGCATCCCTTGAGCAATGACTGCATATCAGACTGCGTGAGTGGCTGGACACAGATTTGGGGCACTGCTTGGCTGCAGACCCTCTTTGCTCTTCTGTACCCAGCACATAAGAACGGTCATCCCAGAGCTCTATCTAGCTGCCTCTGAGACTCCGTCAGCTCACAAGACCCCTTCATTATGTAGCTGTACAGATTGCAAAGGAGAACTCATCAGAGAGTAAGAAGGTGCCTCTGGAGAGGATACAGAGGGAAGCTCCCCAAGACAGGGCCCTCAGCATGCTGCACAAACACAAGACTTAGTCTTCGTTGCGTCTGTCTGCCCCATATTTTAACACCGTTCCAGCAAGCTGGCCCAGAGCCCCGGAGCTGTATGTGGTGCCAGCAGTGCCTCTCGGAAGCAGCGCTGCGGGCTGTGGGCCGCCCGTCCACACGGTGCAGAGCAGCACTGCTGTGCTGATGTCCCTGCATGCACGCGCCTGGAGAGTATTTCAGAATTGCAGCACCTCCTGCAGCTGCGCCTGTCCATCTGTTTCCTGCTTTTGATGAAAACTCAGCAGCCTGGCTGCACAGGATTTGAGCCTGAACAGGATTTTTTTTTTTCCCTTTCCGCCCCACTCTATAAGAAATTGGGCGTTAAAGCACAGCTATCGAGCAAGATCACAGAAGACAAAGTATTACGGGTTATCAGATTAGCTCCCTTCCGTCTGACAGCTCCAGGAATAGGAGCATGACACAGCCACCACCAAATAAAAGCTGTGGTATTTCTGTGCTTCCATTCACAGGTTTCAGGCAAGGAGGCTGTGCACGAGCACGAAGCAGCCCGCAGCGGGCCGTGCCGCAGAGCCCCTCTGAGCACACTGCAAATGCAGCTCAGCCACCATTCCTGCCACCACACACAATGCACGCTTCAGAAAAGTGCCAAACAAAAGGAGATTTGTGAGATAATGCAGTGGAGCAGGGCTGAATACTTAACATTTTGAGAAAGGCAAGGGCCAGCGAGCGGAGCCGAGGCACACGCTGAACAAAACCTTTCAGGACAGCCTGAAGCTGCCCACGTTACCAGCTACAGGCCTCCACCGCAAGCGTGAACTGAGGCTCGATTGTGCAGTGCAGATCAGAGGCTTTTGCCAGAGTCTAGCAAACTGAAAAGCTTTCTAAGTTCACAGCAGCACGGGTGTTCACTCCTGTGACCTCCTCACCCTCCCCTGGAATAAGGACCTTCAGGAAGAAAAGTGGCAGCCTGAAAATGCAATGAAGAGTGGGACCAGCACTTCTCCGAGAGCAAAAAAGTTCCTGATACCACCTGGTGCCCCCATGTTTTCTGGAGGATGGTTTTGGCTTTCCATCGCAGCTGGATAGTTTTCTGGCTACAAAAGGTGATAACGTATTTAGCCTCACTACAACCATTATTTTACATTAGAGTCATCCCCTTATCAATTAACCCTAAATCATACTATTGCTTGAGCTCAGAGAAGCAAATTCTCTTCCCAGCCATGCTCCGAACATCTGGCTTTGGAGCGGGACATCTGCCAGCACCCAAACTACGCTGATGACGAAGGAGCAGAGCAAGGATCCCACCTGGAACCTGCACTGCTGCTCCACGCAGTGTGTGGCCACACCTCCTTCCAGCCTGATGCTGCAGACTCAGCCCGGCGCCAGCCCTGTGTTTCTGCCATCCTTGGGCAATATATCACTGATTTTGAAGCACTCTCGACTGCAGTCACAGAAAGCAGGGAAAATATTTGGCCCAGCATCCTCTCATCCATTGCTTATTGCAATGCTGCTCTCCAGGCAACTACAGGCAGAGACAGAATGTAGGGCTAGATGGACCCAATACAGCCGATGTAACAGTTTAAGAAAAGCCAGCTTTTCTTAAGTATCAATCAACACAGAATCTTTTATTTCACAGAATCACAGAATTGTAGGGGTTGGAAGGGACCTCCAGAGATCATCGAGTCCAACCCCCCCTGCCAAAGCAGGTTCCCTACACCAGGTTGCACAGGTAGGCATCCAGGCAGGTCTTGAACATCTCCAGAGAAGGAGACTCCACCACCTCCCTGGGCAGCCTGTTCCAGTGCTCCATCCCTCACTGTAAAGAAGTTCTTACGCACATTTGTTTATTTCAATACAGTGTTGGGAACTGTTTGGCCTGCAGAAGGTTGGCAATGAGGGCAGATGCAGAGCATGCCCAGCTTCCAGACCTGCGCTGCACAGTTGGAGAGCAGTTCTCAGTAAGAGCCTCATAAAGCCACACACTGCTCTTTGGTCACTCAGCATTAAATACTCTGCTCAGAAATAGACCTATTTTCAAGTGCAGCTTTTTAAAGTGAAGATTATTTCTAAACCTACTGCAGATTGGCTTAAAGCAGTAAGTAGACAAAGTTCCAATTGTACTAATAGATCAGATTAGCTCCTCACCATTCACGTATTCATCTGTGTAAAAGGTGCACTTCTCATTTATACCTTCTTAGGGAGGAAAAGAAACTTAATTTCTCCAAAGACTTACAGCGAGTATAAACTAAAATTAAAAGCACTTGCTTCCATAGGACTTCATTATCTGGCATATAAACCTCCATTCTGTGATCCCATTAACTCGATTGGATTTGGGCCAGCTGATTCTGAACAGCTGGAGCCCAGCAGACACCTGCAGCCATTCCTGCCATGGTGTCGTGCGCTCCCTCCCACCTCCCCTTCTGCATGCATTACCACCAGGGCCCAGGCTGGAGAACTGAGAAACAATAACAGGCCAAGGCCCCCACCTTATCACTGAAGCGCTCTTAGCAAACATCGGCCTGGGCACAGCTACATGGGTTTCTTAAGGGCAGTTTTAAAGTTATTTTTACTTAAAGCTTTCCCTCTGGATGCAGAGCCAGCTCTTCCTCGAGCGACTACTTAACTGACTCTTAACCAGTCAGATTAGAAGTCATACCAGTATCAAGAAAAACATTTACTTAATGCTGTAATCTTCTCAAGGGCAGCCGGGAAAGACAGGCAACTACGATGCATGGGTGCCTGCAAGCAAGCATCTGCCCTCCCGAGCTGCCTTGCAATGCGCCTGCAGCTCCGGGCACAGAGCCAGCGGGCTGCAGCACTTCGTCAGCCCTCAGCGCAGACAACAAGCCTGCAGCCACCGCTGTGCCTGCGAGCAGCGTCATCTGCAAAGTTACAGACGTGCCTACTTAAAAGCGTGCTATAAAGGCAGCTCCTCAGAGCACTGAGCTGCTTTACACCTTCTAAAGTAATTCCAGCTGCCAGTACAGAAGGGATGCTATTTGTTATCCCATCCTTAGGGATTACGGTTGAATTATTTTGCAGTATATTATCCTCCACCCAGATATTCAGAATCACGCTGCCTGCTTGTCTGTGCAGGAAATAAGAGCTTCAGCTGTACCAAAGAGGAGGGGAATGCAAGCTGTGTCGAGGCTGAACCTCCCCCAGCTCCACTCCCCCCACCCTGAGCTGCGCCATCTCTGTGTCAGCGCTGCTGCGGCTCAGCCAGACACCCAAAGCCTGCTTAAAAACCAAGCGACAAAGATTAGAGATGGAGTGGCTTAAAACTGAAGTTCAGCAAAAACCTTTATGCATTTATCATAAAAAGATAGGCTTCGTGGTCTGTGAGGATATTACTTGGAAAACAATCTGCAACCGCGATGGATTTCCATAAGCTTCTGCAAGCACAGGTCTGTACAAAATGGGATTAATT